AAACCGGAAGTAGTCGGAAAACGCGTATTTTTGCCGTTCTTAACAAGTTTTTGAATACCGTAAATCTGGAAATTTTTACTGTAGATAAATTTTTAGCAAATTTGCGCGTGCATTGCATTCGCAAAAATATTTTTCTTAAAAATAAATCAACATGTGAAGAATTTTTTTTCTGAGAACTCGTGTCTTTTTTTTTAACTCAGTGAATAGGCGTCGGTAAGCACTGGTCATTTTTAAAAGAAACCTGTTTACACTAGTCTACTATATAACTACAAGTTAATTACCCGTGCGTGTAAATTGCCCTCATTATATGCAATATCGTCCGATGATTTGACAAGCACTGAGGCGGTATGTCCCTTTTTAATTATTTTCATCAATTAATTTGCCAATAAAGAGAGAACTGTCATTTTATCTAACCGTGTATCAACACGGGTGATAACTCAAACTCAGTGCATTTACTAGAAAGTTCCAAATGTAAACGCGGCGTGTAAATTTTAGGTGAGAAAAAAACCAAATGTTGAGAAAATTAGTTATATTTTTTCTTCATTTGGATTATACTTTAGGTTAAAAGGCATACACAACCTCTAAAATGTTTGTTATAATTGATTTAGAAATTATTTTCAGTGCACATCCTTTTGTATTTTCATCAAAATTGTTTTGGAGCGATTTTGCAATTTCTTGCCACGTTGCGAGTATATTGGTGGTATTCTAACTGGGCATATTATTTGAAAAATAACCTGATATGAAAATCTTCAGTGATTTTTATTTTTAGCACCAGTGACAATTCGCAAAAATTTGAAGCGTAAAAATTAATCAACAGCTTTTTGACCCAAATTCGCAAAAATAAATCGACGTAAAAATTTCCAGATTTACGGTAACATATATTTCTGGGAGCATAATAATTAATTTTCCGTCTGTCGTCATCACTTCCGGTAAAACCGGAAGTAGCAAACATGGCTTATATTTTTGTCCGCGAGTGATCTTGTAAACTACACATCCGACTTAGGTAAAACCTTTTTAGGGTCAGTAGGGATGTTATGTAGATTTGCCGAACGAAGGTCATTTTGCGCGCACGTGCTTGCAAGAGCACGCACGTGCAACACGTGAAATGACCAATATAATGGATATTGCTGAAACTTTTCTTTTTCTTGATGAATTTTTTTGAAACTCATAATGTAAGGATACATTAGTAGTATAGACAAGATGGCATGGTCAAAATAGCAAGATCTTACGCGCATGCACGTGCGCTTCGCTCTGATTGGCTGAAACTAAAGTCTCAATATCTTTCTTGTTTCTTGTCATAATCTTTTGAAATTTTTGACATAGTCCTACATTACGAAGATCTACAGCATGATATATAAAAAATTTCATGAAAGCATGCGCATGCGCGCGTGCTGCAATCTGATTGGCTGAAACTTTAAATGGCTATATCTCCTTTGTTTTTTGACGAAATGCTTTGGAATTTAAAACATAGTCATGCATTAGGATATCCTAAAATATGATATAGAAAAAAGATCATGAAATCACGCGAATGCACGTGTGCTGCAATCTGATTGGCTGAAACTTTATATGGCTATATTTCCTTTGTTTTTTGACGAAATGCTTTGAAATTTAAAACATAGTCATGCATTAAGATATCCTAAAATATGATATAGAAAAAACTCATGAAATCACGCGCATGCACGTGTGCTGCAATCTGATTGGCTGAAACTTTATATGGCTATATCTCCTTTGTTTTTTGACGAAATGTTTGGAATTTTAAAATATAGGCATTCATTTAGATATCCTTCAATACGATAAAGATAAAAATTTATGAAATAACGCGCATGCATGTGTGCTGTAATCTGATTGGCTGAAACTTCAAATGGCTATAACTCCCTTGTTTTTCTACCAAACAGGATGGGATTTAGAACATACATAGATAAATATAAGGGACTCCTACAAGAAGGTGTAGTCATTATGCACATGCTTGCACGTTAAATGAGTAAAATTAAAAATACACTCGAATGAGTGAATTTTTTAATACTTTTGGATTAAATGCTTTGATATTAAGTATATTAAAATTTGAGATAGTGTAGACAAGATAATATGGTCGTTATGCACATGAACACGCGTGCAATGCCTATTTTTAAATATATTTTGTATTTTTCTGGGAAGACCTTGATTAAGTCTAAATTCCATAAAGTATTTCTTATCTAATAGAGATTACAGGGAATATGGCACCAAGTGGGAGTTGGGGAGCGTTTGGGGAACATCTGTAACGGTCCCCGTTACAATTAGCACTAGTTTATTTTGTTTTTTTTTACTGAAATTAATAAAACAAAAAATTTTGTATAAGCCATAAGTTTCCTCTTTCTTCTTTTTATCCCCAAAAGAAGTTTTGTGTATATAGGAATTATCCTGTCCGTGTAGATGTCTGTTCGTTTCGATAGCTGTCTGGTTGCCTGTGCAAACGGGTCCGATCCATATCTTTCTTATGGTGAAACTTTATAATCTACTTTTCCCTATAAAAATTGCTAAAGATCCTACAAAAGTTGCCCATGACCTCAGGATATGTCATTACCTTAACCAAAGGTCATTTAGACACGTTCAAGGTCACTAAAAGAAAAAAATCATAATTTGTGTCCGGCCTATATCTTTCTTATGTATAAACTTTGTGAGTTCCCATTTTACGCAAAGATTACTTATGACTTGAGGTTGTAATTTTCTTCCCCATGCAGAAAACTTGAATTTACGACTGCCATGACCTTGACTCATGGTAACTTGTGCAAGTTCAAGGTCACTAAAAGAAAAGTGCATTTTTTATTTTTTAGTCAATATCTTTCGTAAGGATAAATTTGATGGGTTCTTCTTTGATACAAAGATTGCATATGACCCAAGAGTTTGACTTGACCATTATTCAAGGTTATTTGTGTAAGTTCAAGGTCACTGGAAGAATAAAAAAGAATTCATGTTCGATCAATATCTTTCAGAGATGAGTTTCTATAATATTTGGGCAAGTTCAAGGTCTTGTCCATATTTTCACTTCGTAATAATTTAATTCCTTTATCAATTACAAATATCCATACATAACGCATTTTCAAATGTCAAAGTAAACCGTCAACTGTAAAAGTCAGTGTTTCTTGGGATTAAAAGCCCACTAACCCAATGTTTAAACAAATTGTGAACACCAATGATATTCTTAGTAACTTGGCACTTTCTCTGAAAACACTAGCGGTGGTATTGTCCCTTTTGAACAATTCTAGTTTAACATAAATTAAAAAAAACTAGAGGTACTGAGCGCAACGAGCTCACTGCCCCAGATTCGAATATGATTAAAATGACAAAGTCCCTGTTTTGCTCTTGAAGCCCCGACATGTGTCAGATTAAAAGTATAATTTCAGGTGCACAATGAAAAATTTTATGTAATGCAGAATCTGTGAAAGTATCATTAAATACTATTCAGTGGTATAGGAAGAGCTAGTTGCGGATAGGATAAAGATGGGTACCCTTCAATATTATAGAAAAAATGGCAGTGTCATTGTTTTGCTCGGGAAAACTCAAAATATGGGTCCGATCAAAAAGTAAAATAGAAGGTCACAATGACACTATACAAAAAAGATTCTGTGAAAGTTACAAAAAATTTCATTCAGTGGTAAAAGCGGAGTTGCGGATAAGAGATAGGTACCCAAAGCGTAACAGACGGACGGACGGACAACCCGATTACTATATACCCTCCAGCTTTTCAAGTGGGGTGTATAATAATAAGCTGTTTACTTTAATTTAGTTTCCTTTTTTACTTCACTGAGCTGAATTCTCGAGTGAGTCTGCTTTTTTGCAGGTGTCATAACAGTATTTCACTAGAGTTTACGTCACATCATGGCTGACACAAAATAATTCCTGAATCTCCCCTTCCGAATCGAGCATTTTGATACGAGACTGGAGCTGATTTTTTTATGAGATGAAAAACAACATGTAAACTTCCTGTATTGACAAGATTTATTAAAATTTAGGGCGGATTTTTCTATATACTGTATTTGAGTAGGGAGTGATAAGGCTCTAGACTTGATTTTCAAGCACCTGCTCGACTTCGATCGAAACAAACCTGCGTACTTTGCTGGATGGCTATGTACTTTTTTTTTTAGGTAATAGCGAGCTCAGTGAGCGTAGCGAGCTCAATAGATTAACGTGTACGAACGGAGGAAATTCGGGTTGAAATCTGCATTGCTCCAAGAAATTTTTATCCTACCACGTGAAAAAATTCCAAACTCCCAATAATCCTTTGGTTTGAACATATTTTATTGTTAAGATCTTACAACAAAAGGATTGGACACAAGTACTTAATACTTAGAACGTCCTCTCCTTTAATCCTTTGCGGTTCACAGCAACATGGTGGTTAAAACAAAGCAACAAATTACTTGAAAAAAAATTACAAACAACAATTTAATTTAATCTCCATGCCATAAAACTATCGTTTGCGTCCTATGTCAACAGGACTTTTTATCTGACGTCATACTTTCGTCACTTTAACGGTTCGGTTATTTCCGATTTTGTCGGAAACTTCCGAGAAGTTTGGAATCTCGATCCCGATGCTTAGGAAGTGATTTCTTTTTATTGTTTTGTTTTTTTCTTTTTCCTTTCTTTTTCTTGAATGATAGACAGTACATGTGTAAGTTTACGTTTACATATTAATTATACATAATAATAATAATAATAATAATAATAATAATAAAATTTGTATAGCGCCCTATTTAAAATAATTTACTCTAAGGCGCTGAACAGACACTATTTCAGATATACAAGTAGTTAAATACAACACAATAATCATAAAAACAATAATCATAAAAACATAAAACCTAAAATCATTCTAAGAGATCGTAACTAACATAAGAGTAAGCTAAAATTATAAGCTGCTAGACTAAGATCAAATTGAGATCACATTAAAAATTTCGCACAATACAGGCTGTGCCCAAAATAAATAGTCTGAGGACAATAAAACTCGATAACTTGTTCAAAATAAAAAATTACACGTCGTATGCTATCTTAAAAAGATGAGTCTTAAGATCTCGTTTAAAAGCTAAAAGTGACGTCTGGAACCGGAGAGCATCCGGTAAACCATTCCACAAAGTTGCCGCTGCATGGTCAAAACGACGCGTTCCATATGTCTCCGTGCGAACACGAGGTTTCACAAGTTGTTTGGAGTCATACGAGCGTAGAGTTCTTGACGGTTGATAGACTGTTATGAGTTCCTTTAGGTATGATGGTGATGTCCCCTGGAGTACTTTGAAAGTGTATAAAAGGATCTTATAATATGTTCTAAATTTAACTGGAAGCCAGTGAAGAGATATCAGAACTTCGGAGATATGATCATGCTTCCTAGTTCGGGTGACAATCCTTGCTGCCGTATTTTGTACTCTCTGTAGCCGTGATATATTTGTCTCTGTAATTCCATAGAGTAGTGCATTTCCATAATCAAGTCTTGATGTAACTAGAGCGACAACTAGAGTCTTACAAGCATCTTCTGTTATGAATGGACGAATTCGACTAATATTTCGTAGATGGTAAAAACAGGATTTGGACACTGCGCTAATCTGAGTCTCCATGGTAAGTGATTTGTTGAAAAACACTCCCAGATTCTTCACACAATCTGATTCACAGATGACAGAATCATCAAAATCAAGTTGGTGTGTAAAAGATCTTTTAAGCTGACTCTTTGGTGAAAAAACGATAAACTCAGTTTTATCCTGGTTCAATTTTAGTAGATTTGCGCACATCCAGCTTCTCACGTTAGCTAAACAAGTTTCTAGTCGACTTTTTAAATCTGGCCATGTTTCGTTCGGTTTTATAACAAGGTATATTTGTGTGTCATCTGCATAACAGTGGAACAGCATGCCATGATCACGACAAATTTTACCGATAGGTTTCGAGAAAAGGCAATACAAGACTGGTCCAAGCACTGAGCCTTGTGGTACTCCGAACCGCAAAACAAGATCGGAAGCACTCCCACCAATGACTACTCATTGTGTGCGCTGTGTCAAGTAGGATTCGATCCATTCCAGAGCTGCCCCAGAAATTCCAAAGGAGAACCTGAGACGTCTGAGTAAGATGGTATGGTCGATCACATCAAACGCAGCAGACAAGTCTAGCATCACTAGGGCCATACAGGAATTTTTATCAAGTGCTGATACAATGTCATGATGGACTCGGAGGAGTGCCGTCTCTGTAGAGTGGCATGCTCGATATGCCGACTGCAGTGGTTCCTGTAGATTGTTCACTTCCAGATGATGCTTTAGTCTTTTTGATACTACCTTTTCGAGTATTTTTGAAATAAATGGTAAGTTGGAAACTGGTCTATAATTTTTCAGTTCATTACAGTCAAATTCCGGTTTCTTCAGAATAGGGCGAATTATAGCCTCTTTGAAGGTTGTCGGTACTGAAGATCCAGATAATGATTTGTTTATTATCACTGTTATTAAGGGAAGCAACTCTTCAATGCATGGTTTAAGTAAAGATGTTGGGATTGGGTCACTCTCACAAGACTTAGTTGGTGCCCCCATGATGATATCATAGATCTCCTTGTTTGTAGCTTCAGTGAAAACAATAAGTTTCTGACCCACATATTGAATATCACTCTTTAGTGCCTCGCTAACATTAACTTGCTTAGATTTACTAAGTTCAGATCTGATCGTTTCAATTTTTCCAGTAAAAAATTCACAGAACCTATTTGCTAACATCTCTTTGCTGTCATGTGCTGGAAAGATAGTCTCCTTAACCTTCCCCATGAGTTTGTTAGTTAGGTTATATAGTTGTTTTTGGTCATGTCCAATTTCTAATATCTTTGTGGAGTAGTAATCCTGTTGCGATTGCAGTAGCAGTTTTGAATAATCGGTACACAATTTTCTGTAAATTTGCTTGTGTATCGTTAAGTCAGTGTCACGCATTTTCCGCTCTGCTTTTCTACGAGCCTGCTTGGCTGCTTTTAAGTTGGCGTGATACCATGGTGTTTTTGGTCTTATGATTATTTCTTTTGTCTGAACAGGTGCATGGCTGTCCAGGATACATTTAAGACTGGTGTTATATGTCGTCACTAGTTCATCAATCTGCATGTCCATGTTTTGCTGACTGACTGATGAAGAAATGTCTTTCTTAAATTCATCAATGTTAATCTCACTTAACTTCCTGAAAGACACAGTTTTTCGTTCAGGCTTTGGTTTAGAGATTTGTATCAGAGCATGAACAGCATAATGGTCTCCTGCAGGATTTCCTCTGTTATCACACAAAATTGGGTCACTGATCGTCGGATCAGATAGCAGAATGGAACTGTCCTCCCTAGTAATCATGACGTCCAAGGTATGACCATGGACATGAGTCGCACCTTGCACTCTTTGGCAAAGTCCATGATCATTTAATATTTTCATGAACGTCTTTGAATCAGAGTCACTGGGACGATCAATATGGAAGTTTAGGTCACCAAGTAATATCAGTTCCTCCGCAAGAATAATTCGATTGTCAAGATATTTTGACCATTCCTCAAAGAAGGTCGAATTTCGAAAGTTGTTTCCTTTTGATTTTGATAGATTAATAGCACACAAACGAGAACTTACACAGTTTGGCATCCCTATGACACAATCCAGGTGTTCGAAATGGGTTTACTGGGTTTCTGGTTTGATAGGTCGTATATCGATGTTTCGTTTGTTGATAATAGCTAGTCCGCCCCCCTTTTTATGTTTTCTAGGTAGGTGAGTAGTTGAATAACCAACCGGTGTCATTTCGTACGACCTGGTATACCAGCAACACATGGACGTACAAAACACATCGTACGACAACTATATTTCTAAGTTGAGTACGAAAATATGTGGAACGACTTAAGATGCAATGCGAACAAAATAATAAGACAACTCGTACCAGTAGAGCCAGAATGAAGTAACACAAAACATATATATCTAAGTTGAGTACGAAAATATATGGAACGACATAAAACACAATAGGAATAAAAGAATAAGATAGCTCGTACCAATATAATCGAAAATAACGTCACGGTTCAATGAACATAGTAACCAAACATTTTTTGAGAAATTTGCTAAAAAACAAGGTTTTCGAGAAAAATGGAATTCTGCTCTTAATTAAAAAGGTTATTACAAAAATGCACAACAAATCTTAAAACTGTAACTATAGCAATAAAGGAGAAAACAAGCTAAATAGTCAGAGGTGGAGCTGCCATGTCGTAGCGCTAACACACTCAAAACAAATATACATGTATATAATTATACTTTTAAATCTTTGTTTTTAGTAGTTTTCCACCTATTCCCACACGGCATTTTACCTTTAAATGCCTGTATTTGGATCCAACACTGCAAGATTTAGAGAGAAGAATATTTTCTTAACTATAAATTATATCAAATCAATTAGTTTGGTTTCAATGGCGACACAGACTCCAATCAATTTGTTGCAAGCAATACTAGGTATAAGACTATGAAACAAGAAGCATAAAGTTAGATTGAAAGAATTATTTTCTAATGGTATATATACTTGTAGCGATCGCAGCGAGGGTTCGCGTAGCGCGCTCAATACACTAACGTGTACGAACGGAGGAAATTGGGGTTAAAATCTGCACATTTTTCCAAGAAATTTTTATCGTACCACGTGAAAAAATTCCAAACTCCCAATAATCCTTTGCGGTGAATAGCAACATGGTAGCTAAAACATAG